CCCTGTCACACAGCCTCGCTATGGCAGTGTGGGGCGTCCCTGTCACACACCCTCACTATGGCAGAGTGGGGCGTCCCTGTCACACACCCTCACTATGGTAGAGTGGGGTGCCCTGTCACACACCCTCGCTACGGCAGAGTGGGGCATCCCTGTCACACACCCTCGCTACGGCAGAGTGGGGCGTCCCTGTCACACACCCTCGCTACGGCAGAGTGGGGCGTCCCTGTCACACACCCTCGCTACGGCAGAGTGGGGCGTCCCTGTCACACACCCTCGCTATGGCAGAGTGGGGCGTCCCTGTCACACACCCTCACTATGGCAGTGTGGGGTGTCCCTGTCACACACCCTCGCTATGGCAGAGTGGGGCATCCCTGTCACACACCCTCACTATGGTAGAGTGGGGTGCCCTGTCACATACCCTCGCTACGGCAGAGTGGGGCGTCCCTGTCACACACCCTCGCTATGGCAGAGTGGGGCGTCCCTGTCACACACACTCGCTATGGCAGAGTGGGGCGTCCCTGTCACACACCCTCGCTATGGCAGAGTGGGGCGTCCCTGTCACACACCCTCGCTATGGCAGTGTGGGGTGTCTCTGTCACACACCCTCACTACGGCAGAGTGGGGTGTCCATCACACACCATCACTATGGCAGAGTGAGGCGTCCCTGTCACACACCCTTATGACGGCAGTGTGGGGCGTCCCTGTCACACACCCTTACTGTGGCAGAGTAGGGCGTCCCTGTCACACACCCTCACTACGGCAGAGTGGGGTGTCCCTGTCACACACCCTCACTATGGCAGTGTGGAGCATCTCTGTCACACACCCTCACTACGGCAGTGTGGGGCGTCCCTGTCACACACCCTTATGACGGCAGTGTGGGGTGTCCCTGTCACACACCATCACTATGGCAGAGTAAGGCATCCCTGTCACTCACCCTCACTACGGCAGTGGGGGCATCTCTGTCACACACCCTCGTGACGGCAGAGTGGGGCATCCGTGTCACACACCATCACTATGGCAGAGTGGGGTGTCCCTGTCACACACCATCACTATGGTAGAGTGGAGCGTCCCTGTCACACACCCTGACTATGGCAGAGTAGGGCATCCCTGTCACACACCCTCACTACAGTAGTGTGGGGCGTCCCTGTCACACACCCTCGTGACGGCAGAGTAGGACGTCCCTGTCACACACCCTCGCGACGGCAGAGTGGGGCGTCCCTGTCACACACCCTCGCTACGGCAGAGTGGGGCGTCCCTGTCACACACCCTCGCTACGGCAGAGTGGGGCGTCCCT